AACAGATGGTAATCTCTAGAAACATGTTAAAGCTCATGTTGACACATATACACATAAGAACAGAGAAACTAAAGTATGTTGATTTTTTAAAAATATTTTTGTAATGAATAAAGATCTGAGTTTTCAGCAAAAAAGAGGAGAGGCATAATAATAGTACCTTCACTTCATAGAGAAATATTAAAGTAGTACCTTCACTTCATTATTGGCAACATTAAAATCCATATAAGGAACTTAGCTAGGAAGAGCTCAAAAAATGTTGAAGGGTAATATTTTATTAACATTGTATTTCAAAGTATTCATGGACTGCAAAGCACTATGCACATTTATTTTTATTTTTACTTTTTTTGAGACAGAGTTTCACTTATTAACCCCTGGTAGAGTGTCGTGGCATCACAGCTCACAACAACCTTCAACACCTAGGCTTAGGCGATTCTCTTGCCTCAGCCTCCCGAGTGGCTGGGACAGACTACAGGCACCTGCTACAATGCCCAGCTATTATTTTGTTGCAGTTTGGCCAGGACTGGGTTTGAACCCACCACCCTCGGTATATGAGGCCAGCACCCTACTCACTGAGCCACTATGCACATATTAATTAAGTACCTCACAAGGATAACTTTGTATTTTCTTTTCTTTTCTTCTTTTTCTTTTTTTTTTGAGACAGAGTCTTACTATGTCACCCTCAGTACAGTACCGTAGTATCACAGCTCACAGCAACCTCAAACTCTTAGGTTTAAGCGATTCTCTTGCCTCAGCCTCTCAAGTAGCTGGGAGTACAGGTTATGGTAGTGGTGGTTGTGGCTGTTATTGTTGTTTGGCAAGCTAGGGCTGGGTTCAATCCCTCCAGCCCTGGCACATGTGGCCGGTGCCCCAGCTGCTGAGCTACAGGCATCGAGCCTGTGTTTTCTTTTTAAAATGTTTTAAATTTTTACTGTGTATCCTCAAGGATTCCCTAAAAATTAAAAAAATAAAATAAAACAATTTAAATTTTTAAATATCTTTTATTTTTATTTATTTATTTTATTTATTTTTTTGAGACAAGAGTCTCCCTCTGTCACCCTGGGTGGAGTGCCGTGGCATCATCATAGCTCAGAGCAACCTCAAACTCTTTGGGCTCCAGTGATCCTCACACCTCAACTTATCAAGTAGCAGGGACTATAGGCACCTGTCACAATGCCAAGCAAGTTTTTTCTATTTTTATCAGAGACAGGGGTCTCACTCTTGCTCAGGCTGGTCTCAAACTCCTAAGCTCAGGCAATCCACCTGCCTCGGTCTCCCAAAGTGCTAGGACTATAAGCGTGAGCCACTGCACCCAGCTCTATCTTTCATTTTTTTTTATAAAGACAGAGTCTTGCTCTGGCAGTCCTGCCTGATCCTTCCTCCTCAGCATCCCAAGTATGCAGGACTACAGGCATGTGTCCATAATCACACCTGGCCCTGGTTCTGTATTTCCAACTCTATCTGGTCATGATTATGATTATACTACTACTGGTTGGTTAGAGCAGTGATTTGCAACCATTGTGCTGCAGCACACTGGTGTATAGTGAGAAGATCTCAGGTGTGCTGAGAAAATTTTTAAAGATTATTTTCAAAAGAAATTCAAAGCACAGGAAATATATCCTTTTTTTTTTTTTTTTTTTTTTTTTTAGACAGAGCCTCAAGCTGTCACCCTGGGTAGAGTGCCGTAGCATCACAGCTCACAGCAACCTCCAACTCCTGGGCTCAAGCGAGTCTCCTGCCTCTGCCTCCCAAGTAGCTGGGATTACAGGCACCTGCCACAACGCCCGGCTATTTTTTGGTTGCAGCCATTATTGTTGTTTGTCGGGTCTGGGCTGGATTCGAACCCACAATATATCCTTTTTTTCACTCTTTTTTTCTGATCAACATAATTTAAGTGTGCCACGGAAGTTTAACTATAGGTTCAAGTGTGCCGTGAGATAAGAAACGTTGAAAAACACTGGGTTATTATTACCAGTCAATGCTGCCTATTTCTAAAGTACATATCAAAAAGATGATTCTAAGAAACATGCATTGCAGAGACTCGCCACTTGTTTCATCACTGACTCATCTCCACCAAGTGACGTTTTAACCTCATAACTCACCAGCAGGGCATACGAGGCATAGGCTGGAGACATCTGATGGGTAGTAAGCAGCGTACACCCCAGCAACATGGCCACCCATGGAGGTGCCTACCAGGTGGAAGGGTTTTTTGTTCAGCTTAAGGCATTCTACAAACTAGAAAGGGAAATAAGAAGGAGGCTTTGTTAGAAAGCTATAGACAATGACAAGGATGATGACAGAGTAGAACACCCCTATACTTCCTTTAGACAACTGAAAATGGCCATTGATAAAAGAGGTTCTGAAACTCTACTAGATCCACTATCAACATGAACCCTGCGGCATCTTGCATGTATTTCTCTTTACCTAGCATAAGCGACTGAGGGAGGGGTCATTTATACTTAAGAGTCACCAAATTTTTACACAGAAGTTCAAAGAATAAATATTTTCTGCTTTGAGAGCTATCTGATCTCTGCTGCACATATGCAACTGTGCCATTGCAGCACAAAAGCAGTCAAAGACAGTATGCAAATGAATGAGTGTGGCTATGTTCCAATAAAACTTAGTTCACAAGAATAGGTGGCAGGTCAAATATAGCCCATGTGTAGGTTTATAACTCCTCTCCTAATTTAAAGCCCTTCTCATCCACCTGTCTGTTCAACTGTCCATGCATCTATCCATCAAATCATACAATAAAGTTTCCAACCAACCATCTACCCCAGGGCTCCTCAAACTTTTTAAATAAGGGGCTAGTTTACTGTCCCTCATACCATTGGAGGGCTGGACTGTGGGCCTGGGACAAGTTGGCTTCTAAGGAGGACAGGCAGCGGCAGCAAAAACACCCGGCAGGCAGGATAAATGTTCTTGGCAGGCCATATGTGGTCTGTGGGCCATAGTTAGAGGACCCCTAAAGCCCCATCTATCCATCCATCTAAAAGATATTTATTGGCTATCAATTATGTACATGGAACTAGCTGCTAAAGCTATAGCAAAGAGCCAAAGAGACAAGGTTTCTGACCCTATTAAAATACATAACTTCATGAAGAGAAGCAGATACTAAATAAATATCCTTATCTGGGGAAAATAATGTCAACCTGAAATTTATGACTTCTACACTACTATAGCCTTTGAAATCCAGCTAGGGGGGCAAGAGTTAGATGCTAAAATAGGATAAATGCAAAAAGCACCTTCTCCAACCAGGCAAAGGGGGCTACTACTCTTATCATCAGCTAAAGGTGGAGAAATAGATCGCCCGAGAGGGAATTGATTTTAAGGAATATTAAACTCCTTTTCAAAGAGTTGAGAAAATTCCTCAATTGTATTTCTTCACAAACAACTAAATGCAATAGGCTTATAGGCAAACAGTCTGTAATAAGCCCCAGCTCTCCATGGCTGACCAAGGATATCACTGTGTTGCCATTTTGTTCACAATTACTTGTAGACAGAATGCACCGGAGACTGTTTCTGAGTCAGCATGGAATTCTCTTGCCTCCTCTTCAATTGGGCATGCAATGGTAAATGGTCAAGCCCTGTCTGCACAATCTCTGGGGGAGCCTCTTGCTTACCTGGTGTATCCTCTTGACTTGCCCATCTATGGACAAGTCATCCAGGGAGGAGCGAGTGGTGCCCTCATGTCCTGGCATGTCCACGCAGACCAAGTGTAGGTTCTTTGGAAGGAACTGAGGACACATAGACCCACAGAGTCAGTACGTGGTGTATACAACACGTCTGCCCACTTTTCTAGGAAGGTTGTTGACATGTGAATGACATGTCTGGGGATATATAGGTCTGGACCACTCAATGCTTTACCCTACGAATGTGAACAAGGAATGCCTGTAGCCCATCAGGAGTAGAGGCCCATAAAGATGCACAGATGAAAGAGGGCTCAGAAGATGACTGAAAGAAGGACAAAAGTCAGGGGGGCAGGTTTAAGTCTCTTGTCATTTCCTGACACCAGCTGACAGGTGCTACTGCCTTCTCCATATTGCTCATGGGGAACTAGAAGGGATGGTTCTGTTATCCCAGAACCCTGGCCAGCTCCAGAGCCAATAGGAGCAACACCTCCCCCAAGAACTGTGTCTAATCACCTTGATCCTGGTTTTAACTTTTTTTTTTTTTTAACGTTAAGGTATAATCTCTGGGATAAATACCATTCTAACACACCTTCTTCCATTTAGATATTTACCACTTTTAACCAAGAAACTGAGAAACATCAGTTATCCACAAAAAGATATCTAGTTAGAAGAGAGGTGTTTATCTGAGGTGGGGACAGGAAGTGAAGGGCTCACTAAGGCATGAGGATGCCTGTCCTCATAGTGGAATTTAGAAATGAGAACACAAGTGGCTGGAGGTTATGTGAGCCTTTTCCTCCTGGTATAGATAATACTTGGATCCTTGGCTCAGCACCTGTGGCTCAAGTGGCTAAGGAGCCAGCCACATACAACTAATGTGGCAGGTTCGAATCCAGCCTGGGCCCACCAAAACAATGATGGCCGCAACCAAAAAATAGCCAGGCGTTGTGGTGGGCGCCTGTGGTCCTAGCTACCTGGGAGGCTGAGGCAGGAGACTCGCTTGAGCCCAGGAGTTGGAGGTTGCTGTGAGCTGTGATGCCATGGCACTCTACCCAGGGGGATTACTTGACACTCTGTGTCAAAAAAAAAAAAAAACCTGGATCCCTCAAATATGGTCTTGCCTGAGGTAAAAGCCTGGGGTGCTTCCCACCCAAGACTTCTGCCATCCCAGCCTTCACAGCTGGTGGCCATTCTAAGTAAACCAAGACAAAGGTGATTGGGAAAGCTATTCCAGAAAGCTGCCAAATCAAGTTAACTTCTCTAAGTGGCTAAGGAAAAGTAGGGGGAAAGGGAAATGGAATAGGATTAAAGGGAGGAGAAGGAGGGGCAGAAAGAGAAGGAACTGTGATTATAAAAGAACAAATGACTTTTTTTTTTTTTACAATTTTGGCCGGGGCTGGGCTTGAACCCGCCATCCTCAGTATATGGGGCCAGCGCCCTACTCCTTGAGCCACAGGCGCTGCCCAAAACAAATGACATTTTAGAAGCCCCATCTTGATCATCAAGGCAGTTCTGAGATGATGATATGTCAGAAACCTCCTGTAAAAATATTCCTAACGTGAAAAGATTTCTTTCTTTTTTTTTTTTTTAGAGATAGCAGCTTACTTTGTCACCCTCAGTAGAGTGCTGTGGCATCTCCAGCTCCAGCTCTTGGGCTTAGGTGATTCTCTTGCCTCAACTTCCTGAGTAGTTGGGACTACAGGCGCCTGCCACAATGCCCAGCTATTTTTTTTGTTGCAGTTTGGCAGGGGCCAGGTTCAAACCCGCCACCCTTGGTATATGGGGCCAGTGCCCTACTCGCTGAGCCACCCACATGAAAAGATTTCTAAGGCATATATTTCATAAATAATATTCAACTCAAATAAATTCTGTCTGACCAAAGAATTTGGACAACATACTGCATAAGTTTTACGATGACTTGAACTACAGCTCTGGGTTCCCATTGCTTTATACACTGCTGATGACATCATGTCCAAGTGGAAACCATTTTCTTCTAAGCCATTGGTTCTCAACCTTCCTAATGCTATGGCCCTTTAATACAGTTCCTGTGGGTCGTGGCCCACAGGTTGAGAACCAAATCTAGGACAGCACCTTGACCACACTGAGCCACATGTCCTTGTGCGCAGAGAATCCATGGAGCATGAGGATGGAGGGCCTGGGCCCAGGCTTGCCCCGGAAGGAATAACAGAACTGATAGTCTTCATGGTGAACATAGCGGACCTGCATGCCCAACGTCCTCCGCCAGTACCTGGGCAGGAAACAAAGGCAAAACAAAAGCAGCAAGCTGGGGATAAGTGGCTTGGAGAAAAGCATATGTCCTCTCTGTAAGTCTTACACAGGGGTAAGATAAAAACTTTTCGCAGCCCCTGTCTTCCATGGGTCTCTGGAGTCCACCAGAACTTCACCTTCAAGGACCACTAAACCCAAACCATTCTAGAAAGCTTCTTAAATAACCATTTTGGAATGCAATTCACTAACCGCTCTTAGAAGAGAAAAGGGCTGTTCTATTAAGAGCGTGCCACACATAATAACCTGTTGTTAATATGTATTTCTGAGACTTTGCAAGAGATAACTTATTTCTTGAGAACCGTCTGCACTCTGGCTTAATTTCTCACAGCATATGGCAGCTGGCTGAAAGCTCAGCTTCTGTTGGTTACATAAAACTTGGCAGTGCTGGAGTTTGGCCCCAAATCAATTTCAATATGAAATTACCATCTAAACAAATTGAAATCTTGGCATGAAGATCTCTTCAAGATGAAATATAATTAATTCAATCAGAGATTCATTTTGGAATATGCTTCACACTAAAGACATAGCCAAGTCTTGCAAAAGCAAATAACCTAACCTGATTACTTGAACTTAACCCTTTGTATATAATAAGGGGAGGGGAAAAAGATATATATTTATACTTACTTGCATCTGCAAAAAAAAAGTGGGGGGGGGAATACACAAGATACTATAAAGATGAGTATCTAGCGTGGAGATGGGGATGAAGTGAGAAGGTGACAGGGAACTGACATGGAGGGAGACTTTTACTGCATTATTTATTTATTTATTTTTTGAGACAGAGCCTCAAGCTGTTGCCCTGGGTAGAGTGCTGTGGCATCACAGCTCACAGCAACCTCCAACTCCAGGGCTCAAGTGATTCTCCTGCCTATGCCACCCAAGTAGCTGGGAATACAGGCGCCCGCCACAATGCCCGGCTATTTTTTGGTTGCAGGTGTCATTGTTGTGACAATGGGCTGGGCTGGATTCGAACTCACCAGCTCAGGTGTATGTGGCTGGCGCCTTAGCCCTTGAGCCACAGGTGCTGAGCCTTAATACTTTTTTAATAACTGCACTGCCTATTCAAAACGTTAAAAACACAATAAAAATGGCTAGCTTAAAAGTCTTCTGTGACAAAGCAAGCATATTTCAAAGTTCTAAGTCATGGTACTGTGACATGAGTTTGTTTATCCATTCATGTCCCAGCTTTTCTGCTTACCAACTGCTCTGGTTTGAATGTTCCCTTCAAAACTCATGTTGAAATTTCATTCCCATTGTGAAGTCCCACCTTTTAATACAGTAAGTATTGTATTAAGAGGTAAGACAGTTAAGAGGTGACCAGGCCACAAAGGCTCCTCTCTCATGAATGGATTAATGCTGTTAGTGCGGGAGTGAGTTCCTGACAAAAGTGATTCTGGACCTCTCTTGCCTTTCCTTGCTGTCAGACTCTCTTGACCTTTCCACCTTCCATGAGATAATGCAGCAATGAAGGCCCTTGCCAGACGTCAGTGCCACGCTCTTGGACTTTGTAGCCTCCATAACTGTAAGCCAAATAAACTTTTGTTTATAAATTACCCAGTCTATGGTATTATGTTACAATGACACAAAACGGACTAAGACACTGACTATTTGATCTTGAACCTCAATGTCCTCATACACATATAATATGGGAAAATGCTCCATTCCATGGAGGATATGGCAAAGATTAAATGAGATAATCTGCTGGGTGTGGTGACTTAAATTTAATCTTAGCACTCTGGGAAGCTGAGGCAGGAGGATCACTTGACCTTAGGAGTTCAAGACCAGCCTAACCAAGAGTAAGACCCCACTCTTAGCTGGGAATGGTAGTATGTGCTTGTAGTACCAGCTACGTGGGTGGGTGACACAGGAGGATTGCTTGAGGACAGCAGTTTGAGGTAGCAAACTCATTCAGTGGTAGATGCCACTGCATTCTACCCAGGATGACAGAGCAAGATTCTGTCTCAAACAAAAATATAATCCATGCATAAAGTTTTGCTCACCACCCAGCACATGGTATGTATTCAATAAATGGTCATTATTATATAAAAATTTTCTGTTCTTTCAAATATATTACTTGCCAACCTTTGATGGAAAAATTAGGGGAAATATTTACAACAAATATGATAGCCTCAGATTAATATCCTTAATTATAAAGAGCTTACCAAACTCCAGTTTGACACTGGGCAATATAAATGAAAAGGTAATTCAGAGTTAGAAGAGATATCAATTGCTTATAAACTTACATAACATGTTCAAGTGGGTAGGGCAAATACACCCAGGCTGACAGGTTCAAACCCAGCCTGGGCCTGCTAATCAACAATGAAACTGTAACAACAAAAAAATAGCTAGGTGCTCGCTTTGGCAGTACATATACTAAAATTGGAACAATACAGAGAAGATTAGCATGGCCCCTGTGCAAGGATGACACGCAAATTTGTGAAGCGTTCCATATTTTGGTTAAAAAAAATAAATAACCAGGCATTGTGGCAGGAGCCTATAGTCCCAGCTACTTAGTAGGCTGAGGCAAGAGAATCGCTTAAGCCCAAGAGTTAGAGGTTGCTGTGAGCTGTGATGCTGCGGCACTCTACCGAGGGTGACATAATGAGACTCTGACTCAAAAAAAAAAAAATTAAGTAAACACACATAAGGTGGGGAATAAGAGGCAGTGAGAACAAAAGAGGCATTGAAGAATATGATTCAAGGGATATCAGTGATTTATTTTTTCTTTCTGTTACCTTTTTATAATTATCAAATTCTCTGCAACTCTCACACAAGTCGAGAGAGAGCTCAAGGAAGAAGGAGAAGGATCCTGTGGACAAGGTGAGACTTGAGGAGGCTACTGAATGCTCAACGTATATTAGCTGGAAACAATGGAAAAAGTGCACCAAGGGGTAGAAACAGCAGAAGCAAGCCTGCTGGAGAGAGCCCCATACCGCTTAACTCAGAGGGAAGGGAGACAGCCCTAGGAAGTAGCCACAATGCCAGGCTCAGGAAATGAGGGCTTCTTCATTACCAAGAAGAACTCTTTGGTAATACTCAATATTTTTCATTTAATTGGTACATCCACTGGAAAACTTTAAACCTAAGCTCTGGAAATAAGGAGCTGGAGAACTAAAATTTTTTTTTTTTTTTTGAGATAGAGTCTCACTTTGTCACCCTCAGTGCCATGGCATCATAGCTCACAGCAACCTCAAACTCCTGGGTTCAAGCAATCCTCTTGCCTCAGCCTCCCAAGTAGCTGGGACTACAGGCGCCTGCCACAGCACCCTGCTATTTTTAGAGATGGGGTCTCGCTCTTGTTCAGTAGTTTTGAACTCCTGAGCTCAAGCAATCCACCTGCCTCGGCTTCCCAGAGTGCTAGGATTACATGTGTGAGCCACTGCACCCAGCCTGAGAACTAATATTTTCAACATTTTCAAATGATCCCTTCAATGAGAGAGTGGATTTAATCACTCCCTTTAATCACTTCCCAATGGATTTTAAGGAAGAAAACTCTAACCTTATAGGGAGGCTAAAAGTTATGAAAGACCAGAGGGGCAATAAAACCCAACTTCCTTGTTAAATGATAATATAAAGTAAACTACCTCTTCTCAAAGGTAGAGATTAGCAGTAGCTGCAACCTTATAGGAAAGAAATAAAGAGTTAGAGAAAATAAATGTCTCAGGAGCCAGATTTTTTTTTTTTTTTTTTGAGACAGAGCCTCAAGCTGTCCCCCTGGGTAGAGTGCCATGGCATTACAGCTCACAGCAACCTCCAACTCCTGGGCTCAAGCGAGTCTCCTGCCTCTGCCTCCCAAGTAGCTGGGACCACAGGCGCCCGCCACAACGCCCGGCTATTTTTTGGTTGCAGCCGTCATTGCTGTTTTGGCGGGTCCGGGCTGGGGATTCGAACCCGCCACCTTAGGGGTACATGGCTGGCGCCCTAGCCGGTTGAGCTATAGGCGCCGAGCCAGGAGCCAGATTTTTTACAAACAGTCTCGTACAAGAGCCAAACTGCTCCTGTTTGAGAAAGAGAAGTCAGTCAAGTTTCCCTCTACTGACCTAAATAGAAAAGCCCTAAGAAGGAACTTCCCCAGGGTCCCTCTTTGAAAAAGCCTTCTGGAGTCCAGACTCCTCACCCTAGAAGTCTCTCCTCTAGTTAGCAGAAACCTCTAAAGAAATTTTTTTTTTTTACTGTGGTAAAACAGAAACAATTTTGAAAAAATGTTTTCTGTTTTTGAGACAGAGTTTCTGTGGCCCTAGTTAGAGTACCATGGCATTGTAACTCAAAGTAACCTTGAACTCTTGGGTTCAAGCAATCCTCTTGCTCAGCCTCCTTAATAGCTGGGACTACAGGCACCCACCATAATGCCCGGCTAGTTTTTTTCAACTTTGAGTAGAGACGGGGTCTTGCTTCTCTCAGGCTGGCCTGAAATTCCTGAGCTCAGGCAATCTACTGGCCTTAGCCTCCCACAGTGCTAGGATTACAGGCATGTGAGCCACCAAGCCCAGCCTCATTTTAAGTGTACAATTCAGTGGCATTAGTCTATTCACATTGCTATGCAACTATCACCACTATCCATTTCCAGAACTTTATTTCTTTTTCTTTTTTTTTGAGAGAGTCTTACTTTGTTGCTCTCAGTAATAACTCTTCATTCTCCCCTCTCCCAGCCTATAGTAACTAACTTTCTGCCTCTATGGGTGTCTATTCTAGATATCTTTTATTTATTTATTTTTTGAGACAGAGTCTCACTTTATCCTCCTTACTAGAGTGCTGTAGCATCACAGCTCACAGCATTCTCAAACTCTTAGGTTCAAGCAATTCTCTTGCTTCAGCCTCTTGAGTAGCTGGGACTATAGGCACCCACCACAAGGCCTTGCTATTTTTAGAGATTGTGTCTTGCTTTTGCTCAGGCTGGTCTTGAACTCCTGAGCTCAACCAATCCACCTGCCTTGGCCTCCCAGAGTGCTAGGATTACAGCTG